CCACGAAGACCTACAAAAAGATGGGATGGATTGTCCCATCCGAGGCCCGTGAGAGGGCCCTTGAAGACGCACTGGGGACACTACCAACACCGTACCAAGGACCGGAAATGAACGACCTAAACAAGAAACTCACAGAGGCTGATATCTCCCAATCCGTAAAGGGTGCAACTGCAGACAGAGCAGCAGGCATAAACGGCCTAATATCTGAATTTTGGCAGGAACTGGGTAGAATGTACAGTGAGGCCCAGGAAAGCGACGAGGAGACCGGAAAAAAGAGAGGCAACATAATAAAAGTCCTCACCTGGGTGTACAACGACATAGAAGAATACGGTGTGATTGAGGACACCGGTTTTGCCCTAGGGTGGATGTGCCCCATTTTCAAGAAGAAAGATGCCACTGACATCGCCAACTACCGCCCTATAACGGTGTTGAACACGGACTATAAGATATTCACAAAAGCGCTGGCAAATAAGTTAACGGAGGTTGCCCCACACCTTATACACAAAGACCAGTCAGGCTTCATGAGAGGTAGAAAGATCACAAATGCAATATACCTTGCAATGGAAGTTGTCGACTATAGCGAAGACGACATACAGAATGGCATAATAGTCGCCCTGGACCAAGAGAAGGCGTATGACAAGACGCTACACAGCTATCTATGGGACACGCTGCGGAGGCACGGCCTACCCGAGCTCTTTATCAGCACTATCAAATCACTGTATGAATTTGCGGAAACACACATAGTAATAAACGGTGAGCTGAGCTCAGCCTTCCGAGTGACTCGGGGGGTGAGGCAGGGTGATCCACTGTCCTGCCTCCTCTTTAACCTGGCCATTGAGCCACTGGCCGCGATGCTGAGGAGCTCCGGACTGCAAGGATACTCAATTCCAGAAGTAGCAGAGAATGCCGTTGTCCAATTATTTGCGGATGATACAACCGTGTACCTAAGCGAGAGAGACAGCTTTGAGGACCTGGAGAGGATTCTGGACAAATGGTGCCTAGCCTCCGGGGCGAGGTTCAACGTGTCCAAGACAGAGATTATACCGTATGGGACTGAGCCATACAGGCAGGGAGTAATTGCCACTCGCCAACTTCACCCGCAGGCGACCCCGATCCCTGTGAACGTGCACATAGCCAAAGACGGCGAAGCTATCAGAATCCTGGGAGGCTTTGTCGGAAACGGAATTGACGCATTCGCTGTGTGGACACCGGTGCTAGATAAGGTTGACGCTGATTACGCGCGATGGGCGAACATAAATCCTACCATGGACATGAAGAAAAACATAGACCAGATGGTGGCCGGGTCAAGGACCCAATATCTCGCCCAAGTAAACGGGATGCCGCCGGCAGCCTTGAAACATGTGTTGAACGCACAAAGAGAGTTCATGAACAGCGGGAAATCCTCAATGGTATCCAGAGAACAACTGATGGCCCCCCGAGAGGAGGGAGGACTGGGCATGCTAGACCTCAAAGCACGGAACGAAGCTATCCAGCTAGTTAAAGCCAGCGACCTGGTGGAAACAGACCCCGAGAAGAGACCCCACTGGGCTAGCTTGGCCCGCCACAACCTAAAGCGACGTGTGATAAAACACCCAGTAGTAGCCGAAAACGCTCGGTCTGAGGTGCTGGTCCAAGACTACAAAATAAATCAGCGGACACACCCTGCCCAACACAAGGACATGATGAAATCTCTAACAGACTACAGCTTCGGCTTCCAGGCCACGACGCCATCCGTAGAGCTACAGCGACGTATGCCCCTGTGGCACCACCCCGGTGAAGACAAATCAAAGGTGCAAGGGAAACAATGGGACGTACGCCAAATGTCTGCGATCCAAGCACCGGATACTGCTGGTAGGCGAGAGCGTGGACATGGCAGAACACCTCCAAAATTCCCTACACCAAAAATCAGCGAGCTGCCCATGTGCAGCATGCGAACAGGACAGGCTGGACGGGTGCAAGAACCCACACGCCTGTGTAGAGGGGGGCAGTAAGAAAGATCAGCATGCTACACCCGGAATGGGACCCGAGAAAAGCGGGTGCCGCACCATGGATTGACGGGCATCCAGAAGAAGAAAAGTGCGTCTTCCGACCACCAGATGAAATTGAATCACTGGGCCAGGGACTACGGGCCCTGACTAAACGCGATAATGAACCCAAAGAGAGGCAAAGGCCGATCGGGAGCAGGCGCACAGTGGCGAGCGAAACACAAAACCACATTACCGTTTATGTTGGCGGTGCTGTTCTAGCCCGGCCCCGGCAACCACCGAGGGCTGCAGCAGGCACGGTCTACGGACCGAACGATCGTCGGAACACATGTTTCCGTATCCCAAGCACATGGAAACAGACTTCACTAGTGGCAGAGCTTGCCGGCACTCTGGAGGCTGTGAAGGCAGCCGCCCAGGAAGCAGAACTCACCATTGTCAACCCGAATGACTTTATAAGCAAAGCGATGACCGAGAAACTGGCGAGGTGGGAAAACGAAGGGTGGGTGGGAGTACCCCACAGTATACTCCTAAAATGTCTAGCAGCCGAACTGAAAGCCAGGAGGACACGCACCACATTCATAGTTGCGCCTCAAGCATCCGAGGCGAAATCACTCTGCAGGGAAGCCATAGAGCTAGCAAAAAGAGAAGCGGGCAGCAACCGAGTGCGCCAGATAAGCCTCACCGTGCCAGCAGGAGTGAACCTCACCGGCATACCCCTGCAAGGAAACAAGCAAAGGACCTTCTACCGGGGAATTAGGGAGATCAAGTCCCAAAAGATGGAAATCCGCCCGTCAACTAAAGAAAAACTGAACGAAGTAAGAGAAAACCTAAAGCACCTACAAAACAGAGTGTTTTCTGACACGGAAATATGGGGCTCCATCAGGAATAAGGACTTCTCGCCCCGCATAACCCAATTCCTGTGGAAGGCAATGCACAACGCACACCGGGTTGGGAACTACTGGAAACACATACCAGAGTGCGAAGACCGGGCAGTATGCCAAACGTGCGGCGGGGAGGAAAACCTTGAACACATACTGATAAAATGCAGTAGCCCTGGGCCCGAGATCATCTGGAAAGCAGCTGAGAAACTGTGGCGGGGTAAGGAACCTGACTGGCCAGAAATCTCACTCGGGAGCATTCTTGGCTGTGGTCTCATGCGCTTTGAGGATGAGAGAGGAAAAGAGAAATCCGGCAGCCGCCGGCTATACCGGATCCTGGTGTCCGAGTCCGCGTACACGATATGGAAGCTACGGTGCGACAGAGTCATATCGCGGGCCGGAGCCCCGATAACCGAAAACGAAATAGTAAACCGATGGATGAGCGACTTAAATTTGCGCCTAAAACAAGATATGATACTTGCAAACAGACCTGCGGGCCGCAATCGCCCGCGGATGGACCCCGCCCTTGTGAAAGACACCTGGGCCGGCACTCTCGACGATGAAGAGAGTCTGCCAGAAAATTGGCTAAAGGAACCCAGAGTCTTAGTGGGTCGCAGGGCACTTACCGTAAGCCAAATCCGGAACCGCAGTAGCGTAGGAATTGGTTAGCCCCGCAGCCCCACACTGCCCCATAAGGTGTGCATCTGTGCATTTCTCTGGCTGGTGTTTGTATTTCCTGGGCCATACAGCCCGAACCCTACGCGAGCTACTCTGGGCTAACCTATTGTTAGTTGCTTGTAGCCCGACCGTACCACCAAAAAAAAAAAAAAAAAAAAAAAAAAAAAAAAGAAATCGAACCTTCATCCACTCATTGTACCTGGGATTAACAATCGAAATGGGGTGATCACCGTGATCAACGACGGCTTTTATGGTTGACGGCGGGTACTTGGATACCTGGGACATGTTGAGTCGCATGCAGGGGAAGTCTTGTAACAACTCGGAAACATATTCGGGGGACTCAGGATTAATTAATAGCCCAGCTATGTCCCCTTTCGGAACGTGCCGAGTCACATGCAGGGGAAGAACTCGGAAACATATTGAATTCGGGTTATTCATAATTCAAGGACGGATCCAACCCAACGCCGTTCAAACTTGCAACCTGGTCCGTGCATTATTCCCAAAATAAGCCGTTATACCCCATTTCTTGTCTTCCCTCTCCAAATATCTGCCACCACCATTTCACACCTAGAAGACACGTTCTATGGCGGCCTCGGCGGCTGCAGAGGTGAAATGGGCTTATAAACGCGAAAAGAGTGAGTTGTGTTGATGGCTTGACGCGATGCATGTGGTGGGAAAAAGAGGGCCTCATCGCAAACAAGGGCAAAGGGTGGGACAGTTCACGCGTCTGCCCCTTACGTCTGTTGTTCAGGAATCGGGAGCGTGGGGTGTAGCATTTAGTACTTCATCAATGCATGTTTTTCTCTTTTATTGGGTGCCTTTGGTTTCTACCGATGCTACCGATCTAATCCCCCATCTGCACCGATTGTAAGGGCATGAAAGCCACCTTAATTCCATAATGGCATACAAGTGCTTGTAAGCCACGGCGTGGCTTACAAGTGCATATATCAACTAGACCTAAATGTTATAAGCCACCTCCAGGATTATTGGCTTATAATGGCTTATGAGCAAATACGATCTGTTGTATTCAGTTTGAGATTTTTGCGACAAAGTTGATATCGATTCGGCTGTTGGCCTGAATGTCCGTCAGTGCCGAGTGCTCAACAGATTAAGTAAATGGCGGGGTCGGAGAAATGTGTTCATGTTTCATTCACCCCAGTCACTGCCGTGCTGAATTTCAAGTTTTTTAAAAAACAACTTCAAGTTACATAAGTACCCCTTCATGCACGACAACGACAACACTCGAAAACGGCATCTACGGGCCCGGGCTTCTCGGCCCACTCTTGACACATGCCAATGCGGCCGTACTGCTCACGGCCGTGACCGTATACGGCACGGTGACCAGCACTACCAAGGCCCAGCGATTGATAAAACGGGCCCCATCTCTTCAACTTTGGGATGTACATGTGGGAGCAAAACTGCGAGAAGAAGGAAGACCAAAAACACAGCTCACCGACATAGCCCTCGGGAGGAATCGAACCTCCGCCTCCCCGCGATCAAATATTTCCTGGACGCAGTGAACCGAATAGGGGAAATCACCTTGATCCACGAGGGCTTCTAGGGTACGGATAGGTGGGTAGGTAAGTAAGCTGTGAATATTCTGAAAGCACAGTAAAAACGGAGCAATGACTCCACTGTACCATGCTGCTGTTGGTCCGGCGAAATAGAACCACCGAGTGCGGCGCTAGCGTACTGGGTCTTATCCTGCGTGTTCACGTTCAACAACTGTGAAAAAAAAAATACCCGCGACTGTTAATGCCTTGGGAAGGAATCAAACCTTCATCCACTCATTGTAATTGGGAGCAATTGAAATGGGGTGATCACCGTGATCAACGACGGCTTTTATGGTTGACAGCGGTACTTAGACATGATGAGTCTAACATATTCGGGGTTATTCAAGGGCGGATCCAACACAACGCCGTTCAAACTCGCAACCTGGTCCGTGCATTATTCCCAAAATAAGCCGGTATACCCCATTTCTAGTCTTCCTTCTCCAAATATCTGCCGACACAACCTCACACCTACAAGACACGTTCTATAGCGGCCTCAGCGGCTGCAGAGCTGAAATGGGCTTATAAATGCGAAAAGAGTGTGTTGTGGCTTGACGCGACGCTGGCACGTGATGGGGAAGAGGGCCAAGCGCAAACAAGGGCAAAGGGTTGGACAGTTCACGCGTCTGCCCCTACGTCGCGCCGAGGATAAGGATGTGCACGGGTCACCCGCGGGTCTACCTCGAGCGGACCCGGACCCGTACCCCTCCATACCCCACCCCTGCAGGGGTACAGGTCTATACCCGCCCTAAAACCCGCGGGTATACGCAGCCACAGCTTAAATACTCAATTTATCGTCTCCAGGTGTTCTAACTTTTTTTTTGGCGGCTCACCTTGACCAGTTTCGCGTTCATTGAGTGCGAACGAAGCCCCAGTGCTTGATGAAATCCAAAACAAAGTGAGCAGTTGACGTGTTTGAATCTCGGCTACAGTAGAATTTTGACATCAAAATCCATGTCGAGGGCATCAGAAAAACCTGGAAATATTTCAAGGCTCAGATCATCCATGCAATGACTCAATTCTACCTACCGGAAAGATTCTGAGCGAAAAACAAGCCTCCCGGGATCATTTTCGCAGACCCGTCTCGCACCCCTGTACCCGCGGGACGGGTCCACGGTATGTTGCGGGTCTGTAAGAACACGACCCGTACCCGTACCCCTTAGACCCGTACCCCCCACACCCCCCACCAGACCCGCGACCCGTGCACATCCTTAGCCGAGGAGGCTACCACTACATCTCCCAGCACCACCCACACACGTAGCACTCGCACCCGCCTGTCTCGACCTTCGCCACCACATTCGTGCCCCACCCGCTTGACCACTGCGCCTGTTGAGCACCAGGATCCCTATCTGAAGCAGCATCGCCTAAGCCGGCCCGTCCCCTCCCAGCCTGCCCATGTCACCTTTCTTGAACTCTCCGCGTTGCCGACGAGACTCCTCAGCTCCCGCGCTGCGTCCTCTTTCGTTCCCCTCCGTGGCACGGGTCCCCGCCGACGGTGATTCAGACATTGAATGATCCGCTCGTCATGCTGAAATAGGGTCAGGCGTGGATCTTTCGCCAGCGCCTTCCCGTGCCCGTGCACAAACGGTGCGTCGTCTGCTTTGAATCTCTGCGCACCCGCTGACAACGATATAGATGCTTTGGCTATCGACAGCCCGTCTTCCTCATCTCGACTCCAACAAGTGCCAAATCGATTTTCCTCCTTTTGATTCCCCCGGGCTCCTATAGTGTGTTTGTGCCCATCCCCCTACGCCCACGCTGACAATGGACTCAGCCTACCTGTTCTCTGCGCGGGCCTGTGCTCGCATCCTCATCCCCGTCATTCGCACCCACGACCATGACGAGCCCATCGCGGGCTACACTGTATTATGCGGTGGTTGGTTCCTCCGCTATCCATGCCGTCTCTGTGCGCTCATCGTCCGTCCAGATCCTTGGTGTCACATTTCATGCTCGACACGCATTCCCCGCTACTTGCGCTCTAATCCACGCGGCTCAAATACCGGCTATGGTTACCCCCTCATTTGTCCATTCAGTGGGAGTTTGAAGGTCGGTCTTGACCAACCGGTGCGTCTCCCTTACATGTCCACGATGCCTTTCTGACCCCGTCCCTCTTTATCAGACCCTTCTGTGCCTTCCCCCGTTCTCTCTCCCGCAGACTAACATCGGTTTTCAGGTATGACTGTCCGGGAGCTTCATCCTCGATGCCAACTCTCAACCCCACACCAAATGTGTTATGCGCGGGAGGACTCGAAGAGCAGAGATGGGGGTTTTACTCTCTCAGAGCGGGATTGGAGCAAGAGGGTACATCTCCTCCCTCCTCCCAATCGTACGTACGAATCGGATCGTGCAGAGCGAAGATGTCGGGCTTGGTTCCTCCTATCCGCTTGAATATTCCTATATTCTTATCGCTGCGTGCTTCGTCTTCGCGCAGCTCGTATCGTCCCAGCAATGTGGCCGAGGCATGCGCTGATAGAATATATATTGATAACAGCGGATAAAGCTGTTGAGGCGATCTAATATTCCTGAGTTCCCGGCAACAATCACTGCATTCCGTGGGCGGATCGCCAAGCTTTGCGCCTTTGACGCCGCTCTGCCGCTGGCAATCAACGGGCGTTGGGATCAGCAGAGGTTGGCAGGGCCAGATTTGCATGAACAATGTGGCGGTGACGGTCGTTACCAAGTTGTCAACTTGTCATCTACCATCCAAGGGGATTCTGAAACGAAAAAAAAAATACCTAGGGCCGTATTTTTTATTAGCAACCCCTCGCTCCGAACCACCCTACCACGTGGACGTCCAAATAAGGTAATTTCTGATCCGCTTCTTGTTTCGGCACGAACGGGACTCTCTTAATGTTCGGAAACGGTTCAAAAGTACCGGCACAACATTTCCAATAGCAATGTACGCGATACCGTCTCCTCACCCTCTGCGATGCCTCTTGCCCGGCTGACCCTCCGTAGCTTTACACGCATCACATATGTAATTGTTTCCGACGCTTTCCACTGAGTTGAGGGACTCCAAGTGATACTATGCAGTACCGACATTAAAGATATCCGCAATATCATCCTCGACAATGCCCTGTTTCAAACGTCGGCTCAGTAATCATTTCGTAAAGAAAGAAGGTAGATTAGTATCACCTCGGAATGAGCCATGTCTTTGGTAAAAATAGCGGGGCTTCGCGGCGTGAGTGCTGACGACGTTTTTCTGATTTGCTAGTTGCCGCTGCCAAGCAGTGCCAACTCGATGACGGAACACTTCCTAAAGGGTCAGATCTGGGTGATGCAGCTTCGTTTAGGCTTGATTCGGGCTTTGTACAAGCTCGAGGGAGCACAGAGGTGTTTTTATAGCTTAATTGGATGTCCTCTAGATGAGTTTTGGGCAAAATTATAAGAGGTCATTTTTTTTTTTAATCGGGCCATCTGGTCGACCCACCCTCCCTGCCCTAGGTCTCGGCTTCTCGGCCCGGCACACCCTTGCTACCATCAACCCATTTCATCCGAAATCAAGCAACTTGAAGCGGGCCGCTGTGCGGCTCTAGTAATCCAATTGCTTGAAGGCAACAAACGTGAAAAGACGCGTCGAAGAACCCAACGATGGCCTCCGAACAGCTTCAAGCTGTCAGTTCACAGGGCCCTGGGCCTCGACTGAAGCTGCGAAGACAAACAAGATCCTGTGACTTTTGTCGCCAAAGAGTCGGTTCGCGTCCTCAGTGCCACATCCAAGCTGCTAACTGACTTTGGGCACAGATCGATGTAAGACCTGAAGCGTCATATTGCAGTGAGATTGACTTTAGTTCAGGCGATGGTCCTGATATGCCGAATGGCTGCTGCTTAAATTGCTTGGCTTTTGGTTTGGCCTGCACCTATGCGTTCAACGTATGACCACGACATTCAACGCGTGGCAACTCGTTCCCACGCGTTACAACGCGCGCCCACTCACTTCAACTTGACTTTTGTCCAGTCAAGCCTGGTATACAATTTGGAACCAATTGAACTAATTGAACAGAAATACGATGCACTTGCGCCTCCAGCTCTGCAAAACGAGAACCGCTCCTTGTCTGTGGACCTCGCTCCCTCATCCTTTCATGATACTACTTGCCCTGACTCTTGGTCTAGCTTTGGTGATGACTGCGATACCTCCATGCCGCGACTCGTTCACCCTCGAGCTTCGATTTCGGTTTCAAGGCTCAATGGCCCCAGTAAACCCGGTTTCCTCGCTCCCCGTCTCGGCGGCATTCCGAATCGAAGCTGCCACAGATAAATTTCGCCTCCCCTGCAACATTCCAAGAAATCTTTCGATGCGGCAGGCGTTACTACGTTCTCCCCCGCGCCGGTGGGGCTGGCTCTCCTCGGCCAAGCGCGCTCATGACGTAATTGCTGGTCCGACTGGTCGAACCTGCCCTCTTTCATATTCATTGTCAGAATCTTCTGGCATATGCCAAGAAAGTCCGGATGGCTGCGCCGCTCTTCTTCCGCTGAGACATCGCTATTCGCATCCATTCGGCAGCATTGTGTTACGGCCCTTGTTCTTCCGAGCTGGTCCGGAGCTCACAGACGCAGATAATAACTTCTCTACGTCGGGAACACTTACATCGCGCAACTGGAATACTCATCCTTACGGTTATTTCCCTCTGTTCAACCTGAGTATAACGTGAGTGTCGTTGCGTGCATCACGCCAACGCTGATCGGCTCCACAGAGGGTCTCCCGGCTCTTTTTTTTCTGTGGTGTTTAACGTATCAAATGGCGTCACAGCCCTGAAATTCCAGCTAGTTCGGATCCAAGTTCGTTCTGCCGTCTCGTATAATTGCGGCAAGGGCTGGTCAGAAACGATATAAAAGGGTGGCCGGTTCTCTCTCATACTTCACTCGAACACACTCCTTTTGCAGTTCAAGCCCACTCATTCAAACAAAAATGTTCCCCAAACTCTCTCTCGCTGTCACCGCGGTGCTCGCTGTAAGCTTGCCACAGCGACCGGTGTGCATCACAGTACTAACTATTGTTTTGATT